TAAAGGAATACCTTCATTGGTACTAGACGGTGGCTCATGTGACGTTTGTATTATATATGAAATGAAAAAGTTATGAATATTGATATGATAAATATAAATTGGATATGAAATGATATGGATTTATGATTTATGTGTATGCTTAATAATATGTTTATAAGAAATAAAATTTAAGATATGTTTAAATGAAAAGTGACATTTAGCATTTACTCATTCTGTCTTGAATTGTTGTAGTTTATAAGCATGTTTTACTTATTAAGTTTTGGTTTACTGTTAGTTTTTCAAAAACAATTCAGTTATAATTATTTTAATCATAATAAGTAGAAGGGTGGAAACGTGTACCACAGGAGAGGCGCGCCGAAAGAAAGGTAACTATATGAGTCTTAATGATTTTATATTTACGTGTTTTCGAATTTAATGTTTTAGTGACTCTTTCAAATGTTATGGTGATAAATTTAGATATTAGATATTTTAGTCTACCGTCCAACCTCGTTCCCGCCTCACCTATGCGAGCTTACCGGGCCATGTCATGACATACAAGACATTAAAAGAAGGTCCTACCAACACATCGAACAAGTTGAACGATAGGAGAATCATGAATCTTATTTCTAGGAGCAATAAAATTAAAGTTTCCTTAACTAAAAAACAAGACAATTACAAAGTTGAATGACAAAAATTTCTTAAACCCTCTCCCTTGGAAACTCTTACTAAGTTTATCCTTGTAAATTTTCCTAGAACATGATTTCTTCCATCTCTCTCAAGAGCTATGTTGCTCCAGTTCATCCTTTTTTCCATTCTAAGTCATCGTATTTTATGGACAGAGACTATTGATTACAAAAAAAAATTGCATCCATTTCTAAAGTGGTTAGTAGGGTTTTGAGTAAGGACCATGTATTGGATATCCTGGCAAGTAATGGCTCTTGTTTCTTAATCAAGTTGAATACTATCGAATCATCTAACAACTAGGTTCTTCAACTCTTTCGAAGTAGACTATACTTCTTCAAAATGTAGTGCGGTATACGGAACCAAAATGTACAAGATCGTGACCATGAATATCTCCATTTCAGCACTAATCTGAAAAAAGAGTTTTAGGATGATATTCTCTTTGTCGAGTTATATTATAGGTGCTAAGATACCCATGATAATTTTCAAATGAAGAGACCAACCCACGGTTCAACATTTATCTTCCAAAACCACACAAACTGGTCAATCTGTTGGTACATGTTGCTCAATAAGCCCCCATATGACTCGTGTGCTTGGCATGTCACATCAAGAGATGTTCCAAGAATTGTAAATTATGTCTCTACTTTAAGTAAAAGAAAAGGAATTGGCCAAAAAATTCATTTCAAAAGCTGAATATATTATCTTAAAACAAAGCCACAGATTAAAAATATTTGTAGAAGATTTCTCCTCATGTTGAAAGCTAGAGCACAGAAATCAGATATAAGACTTATAAGGTACATGTATATATTCTTAAAAATAAAAGATGCACAGCAAAAAAGCATTTCCTCTAGAATGTTGTATTAAAATTACCAATGAAAATTGGGCGGTAAACCACAACATCTTGCTAGCTAGTGTACATTATCAATCCTCTTTCTTACAAACAAGTAACCCTCAAGCATGGTTTCATTCCACTCGCCAAGTGGTAGTACCACTGATTTGCATAAAGAAATATAAGCATATAAAAACAATTATTATGCAAAAAAAAGTTATAGAAAATGGATAACGTCTTGCATCATAAACATGATGACATACGAGCAGTAACATGTATTCAAGGGTGAAGTCAAACAATTTAAGAAAATGCACATAATTGGCCATAACTCTAGGGTAGCCATACATCTCATAACAAATAATTTTCAAGGTTTGTGAGATTTGAGCCCAAAACTACAAAATTCATGTCATTGATTGTAAAAGTTAATTGATAATTACAGCTCCCTATATAGCTCATTTAATACAGACAATATAGTGCAGAAATGAGAAGGCAAAGGGCCAGAGACATTTCTAGTTGGTGGAAGAGAGAGAGAGAGAGAGAGAGAGATGCACCAACACATTGACTATGAAGTAAAGCTAAAAACAATACCATACAACTAGGGGTGTAAACGAGTCGAGTTTTAGCACTAACGAGCTCAGCTTGTTAGTCGGAAAGCGAGCGCAAACTCGAGCTCGTCCCATTAAAATCGAGTTTGAGCCGGCTCGCGAGCCGCTCAATTCAATTTTGCATTTTCCCGCCTGTGCCCCTAGCTATTAATGAGCAGTCGTTTAACATATATTATAATATATTATATATATTATTTTAATTAAAACAATGCTCATTTTCTCAAAAAAAAACAAAGCAATATTGTCGTCCCAACTCCCAAGCAACTCTGTGTCCCAACTCCCAACATATATTATAATACATTTTATATATTATTTTAATTAACATATGTATTCATTAACATATATTTTAATATAATATAATACATATTATATATTATTTTAATTAATAAATAATTAACGAGCCGGCTCGCGAGCTCACGAGCCAAGCCAACTCAAGCTCAAGTTTGAGCTAGAGCTCGACTCGAGAGCTCGAAAAGCTCAGCTCGCGAGCTCATAAACGAGTCGAGCTCGAGCCAACTCACGAGCCGGCTCGGCTCACTTACACCCCTACATACAACAACAACAACATCAAGCCTTTATCCCACTACGTGGGGTCGGTTACATGAATCATTTTTCTCCATTGTACCCTGTTAATAGTCAAATTCTCATTTAAATCTAATAAAATTTTCTAAAATTCCTAACCAAGTCTTTTAGGCATACCGCTGCCCCTCTTAACATAGGTCAAATGTAATACATTTACTCTCCTAACTGAGCATCAAAAGGTTAACGTTTTATGTGACCAAATCATCTAAGGCGACTCTCTCTAATTTTATCTGCCACTAGAGCTACACCAACCTTTTCACATATATGCTCATTTCGTATTCTATCCCTAAGGGTAAAGCCACTCATCCATCTGAGCATCCACATCTCTGCAACACTTAACTTAATTGTATGTTTCTCTTTTATGGCCAACATTATGCGCCATAAAGAACTGCATGCTAAAAACAAGACTTTGCGCTAATTAAAAAATAACATTAAACTTGTAAATATATCACTTCATAAACAATGCTTAGTTAATAAAAGGTTGCCACAACTTTCTTCCATAATTCCATAACAAGTCTCTAAATTACACAAAATTAAGATAATCTGTTTTCGGCTCTCATAATATATGGCATTGTCTGTCAAGTAATGATAACTAGCAACACATGTTCATTGAAGCCCATTGCATTCGTCAAGTTTATTGTCACAAGAGAAATCTTGATGATGACAACTCACAAAAGGATCTCTAAGAAGAAAGAATCTTTTAAATCTAACAAAAAGATTAAAAGAGTTGGAGAGTTTTTGTAAAACCCGAAAGATTATTTTGGGTGGCTGAATCTTGTTGGTTATATTTTTGCTTTGCCACCATTGTACATGTATGTTATATGAATTGCTAGAATTGCTTATATGAAGATTAGTGGCGCTTGTTTCCTACGTGTTTGAAGTTCTTACAGTTATACTTTATGTCTTTAAAAAGTTTTAGAATTTATGGTTTATTTGCCTGTCCGATTTCCGTTCCCGCCTCGTCTATACGAGCTAACCGGGCCGGGTCGTGACAGTTTTTGTATTATAACAAAGATTGAATGAGTTACAATAAATTTTTATTTTTTTATATATTTACATATCTATCACCAAAATCTTTATATTTTCTTTTATAAAAATGTAATACGAAAACTACATCAAAAGTTATACATGAAAAGATGTATTTCATTCTACATAAGTTGCAATTAGTGGTATTTTTAATGTGACTAAGAGATTAAAATGTTATGAAGGTAAATATAAAGATTTTGTTTGACCGGTCCACGCTGGACCAGCTCAAGCACGACGAGGCGGACTGCATCCGCCCCATTTTTGCGATCGATCGCACCGCCAACATCCACATACCGTTTTAGGAAGGATTTTTTAGAGATTTGGGAGGGGAATTGAATGTAGGAGCTGTTTAGGGATTTCCTTTTGATTTGTATGCATTAAATGCTTTGTTTACTAGGATTTGGGTATCTTGAATTTGGCTGAAATTTGAGATCTCTTAGATTTAGGTTTTCTTTTGGGCTCTAGCGGCGTCTAGAGAATTGGGAGAGATCGATCCTCCACTCGAATTGAGGATCAATTGTATCTTGCTATTTTTTGTGTTCCTTTCATCAAATAATACAAGTTATCTACTGTTTTTGTGGTTTTGTGCAAATTATTGTGAAGAAAGCTCGCTGTTTTCCGAAGATTGATAGGAAATACTTGATCTACAAGTGCTTCCTATCAGATTCATGTGTTAAATATATAAATAGAGAAGAATTCAGCAGCATATGCTTAAATCCACCAATTTAATCATAAAAACCTCAAAAAACAGTACGAAAGAGTATCATTCATCGCACAAATATATCACTTCATGAATAAGGAGAAGAAAATATAAGGTTGCCAAAAGTTTCTTCTTAAATTCTATAACCACCCTCAACACTGACGCATGCATAAATATAAAAGTATGTTGTAGAGACTCCCGTAATATAGGACGTATTCAAGAATGTCTTCATACCTAACAACTCAAGTTCATTAAAAATTGTTATATTTACTAAATTAACTTACATAAGAGGAACACATCCTGATGAAGGCTGCTCTGACAAGAATCGCTGCAAAATTAAAGCACGTGTTTTTTATATAAAAGATTAACTGAATTGGAAACTTGGATTGAAATTCAATCCTTTAATCTCTTAAAACATTACAAAAATTACAAGATCTAGTTCATTATCCCACAATAAATCTAAATCAAAACAATCAGATCTGAAAGTCTAGTGATCATGTTTTCAATTGTCAAATTGCAAATATAATTTAGAGAGAGAGATCATGCATGAAGAAACCAAAAAGCTAACCTAAGAAGGCCATGCAGAAAATAAGGTTACCTTACAGCCTAATGGTACACCATTATTAAGTTCAGCTTCGGTTTTCAGATTTAGATCAACAAAATTTTCGTGTTCTTGGCAAGCGCTAGACCGTGTGGGGCTCATTCCATCATGCTCGCCAGTCTCTCCATCATCATCCATAAAAGAATCTTGAGAAACATTGTGAAGGCCAGAAGCATTGGGATGTGAATTCAGTGAAATTCCATAGTCCTTTTCTTCGGACTTGCTAGTTTCTGAACCAGTAGCTGTCTCAAAAATCAACAAATCATCAGTATTATCAGATATTAAGTTGTCCCAATCACTTTCAGAAGCATCCTCCTTCATTTGATCTGCTGGAAACTGCACCTCAAGGCCAATCTTAGTGGTGTGAGGATTTTTTGTGTTTTCTGACATATTTTGAACTAACTTAACCCGTTCTGATGGAGTGCAGCTGATGTCTAGTTTAAAATCCAACTTAACACCATAGAAAGGTGAAGTATTATGGTTTGGACTACCATTATCAACTTGCACGGACTGGGAAAAATCAGGTTGGGTTGAGCTATCATCCGCAAGGTCAACAGAAGCCTCATTCAAAGAGCAGGTAATATTGCAATTTTCTTGGGAAAGCACAATGGAAGCGGAAAGTACAGCACCATTTGAAACCCCAGAATGTACGTTGCTTTCATCCAAGCCATCAGAAGAGGCATCCTGTTTTACTGAATCCGGAAAAGGGTGCCTGGTAGTGGACAGATGGGATGGAAAGAAGCTTCAGTATAACAAAACAAACATGCTTTAGAGAACGCAGAACACTATAATTATTACCTTATGAAGAATCTAGATTCCTTATGGAAGCTGACATGTGGTGAAGAAAAGACTGAAGAAATTGCTGCAGAACCAGGTGAATGAAATGTATGTATGCTGTGCACTGATTTAACAGGTTGAATTGGAGACAAACTATTGATGAAGTTGAACACCGGAGAATCCTGAGAAACAAAAAAATAACTAATAAAATCACAGCATATGCAATTACCAGAAGAAATACATAAAGAGAAAAAACAAAGAGCAGGTAACCCGTCTATGTGCCTAAGAATTATAGGGTGTATTTGTGTTGTCTAGAAAACTTAATGTGACACCAAAAGCAAGAAAATTGTGCCACACCAAGCATAAATATGCATTTATTATAATTGCAATGCCACAATTTGTTATGTTACCACTGCACAACCGGAATGGAAACAATAAGTATTTAAATGCATAGACAAAGAACAAAACTTGGAAACCCAACAAAATAAATTTAAGTTATGCCAAAGGAGGAAAACTCAAGTGACAACAAAGCAGAAGAAGACATTACACAATCCAAAGTAGCTCAGATTGTGTGATAAACACAGCCCAAAAAAAAACTAAAAAAATATATACCAGCCTTTATTTTTAATAAATATAAGGCAACATGTTATTATCTTCAGTTTTAGAGTGATTAGGAAAACAAACCAGAGAGAAAAAATAAAATTTAAAAAATATATTAAAAAAACCAGACAGAGAAAATAAAAATGCTCAAAACTATAAGATAATTTCATAATATACCATTGGAAACGGAACATCTAGAAACAAAGCTGAGACCTGTACAACCCAAACTCGTTACATCCTTGAAAAGCACTAATAAACAGGTATGTAAACTCCTAATAGACCAATAATTGGATAAAACATTGTCACCTGCCCAAACCAATTACAAACGCCTACCAAAATCACTAGGAGTTGGTCCAGAGCAAGATATCTATCGATTCAAACATAGTCTATGGCTTGGTTCAATCTGCAAATAACACTCGCTTAATTGAATGTCAAGTCTTAGGTTAAAGGAAAAATTAATGGCACACATGATGCAGATCTAATTTTCAAATGCCTCACCCAATGAATAAAATACTTCAAATAACTTGAACTAATTAATCAAGTTAATCGCATTGCAGTGAAAGAATCTGTGACTCAATGGTTAAATGAGAATGTTATTTCTCTAAAGTCATGAGAGAGTTGTATAATCCCAGATTTACAACCGAGCATTCTCCGAAAAAAAAAGTTAATAGCATTATAGTACCAAAAGCCTCAAATAACTACACATCTTGCAATTAAGCTAAACAACTATCATCTGCTCATTTTGCTTATTTGACCCACCATAATCAGGAGTTTTTTATTCTTGACAGAGAGCATTATTTTTGAAGATCTTCCTTCGGCAGCGTCAGTATTTTTTTCTATTTGTATCAAATAAGCTCAATAAATATTTTTTCTCAAATATATCTTCTTTAGATTGAGTTCTTAGTCAGTCTTTTTGAATCTCCTCCTAGCACTGCCCACAATTCACATGACAATTTTGTCACCAAGATCTCCCTCTCAAAAATAAAAATGGTACTAATGGTTGACGTTATTGTTGAAAACAATTAATTAAAGGAAAATCGTTGATGAAAATAGTTTCCAGCCATGGAATTCATTTTCACATCTTCCATGAGATCCTAATAGTCTCAACCATGACGATTGTAATGAAGAGATATACTCTGAAGATATCCAAGATAAGATCTTCAATCAGATGTAAAAGCTTCCTTAATGGAAGATAGTTAAACTAAATTATCAGTCATTATTTTTCTTATTTCTACCATACAAGAGGATCATGGATCAAAATGCTGGATTTTTTCTACCTATCTAAGGTTATGTACTATTACATAAGAAGTAAGATAATTAAATTTGCATGCTATGATTGAATGGAAGAACCCAGAAAAAACAGAAATATTGATACAGAATCCGAGAAGAAATGATCTCCCTATAAACAACGTTAAGGAGTACAAATAGAGCAAACTGAATGGATTAGCAAAGCAAGCCAAGAAAAATAGTCAAACCATGGCGAACATACCAACATATAACCCATTCTCCATATAATTTTATGAATATTCATTGTCAAATAATGGTAATAAAACTCTAGCCTCCTAGATTAAACTTTTGATCAGATTGAGAAGGTCAGTATGTAAGTTAAAAAGTTAGCTCACCCAATGGTGAATCAAGAGTTCAAATTCTATATACCAAAATAAAAAAGGTTCCAAACCAATAATTATTTAAAAACAACATGGCATAGCAAGGTTCTCAAAAAAAAATTATCAAGCCTCAAATTGTGGCAAGGTTTGAATCTAAAAATTATAAACACCAGAAATCGTGGCAGGATTCAGACCAAAAACTTCAAATAACATAGATGAAGCTAGAGTTACTCCAAAATATTTCAAACAAAAGTAAAAAATGTTGAAATTATTCTAAAATCTAATCTTAAACTTCTGACGAAGTTGAGATGGCTACAATCATTAATCTTAATATTCTAAATATTATGAGTTGATTTCAATTGTTATCCTCAAAATTCCAAATAAATTTGGAATTATTCTAGCCATAATACTTAAAACTCATAAAGTTCCAACCTAAAAGACCAAGTATGAATACTTAAAGATTGAGTTCCATTGACATAGTACTCCCTAATAAAAAATTAAATTTTAAAAAGCCACGAACAATGTCAATTTTTTCTACGCCAAGAAAATTTGATCAAAACATTCCGCATAGCATTAACAGAGCCTTCCATAAAGAATGCATCAAAATTATTCAAGCTTAAGTCAATGTCAGTGTTGGAAAAAAGCTCGAATTAATGGATTCTTCTAACTTTTCATCCCTACAAAAAGCTAGCCAAAACATTGTTTAGACAAACTTTAAAACCATCGAAGAACAAAACATTATACAGCCAAAGTAGCCATTAGCCAATCCTCGATATATGGGAAGATGAATTATGAGTTGAACATAAAAAAGTTAAATCTCCCTAGAAATTGAGCAACCAAGGAAAAAAACATGACAGTAAGAAGTGTTCCAAGTTGAGCAATAAAAAGATTAAGCAAGTGTTTCAATAGAAATTAAGGATTACATTATTGCACCTTCAAAAGGGAAACAAATAATCTGGAAATAAAATCATAGTAAGGGAACATCCTCAATCAAACCACCAAAATGCATATATTCTAAAATAACGGGGTAATAATGAATATTTCCAACTTTTCAAACTTAAATAGATACAAGCTTATAGAGAAACGATGTAGACCCCAAATTTGACACTCTTTTAAAAGGCGGTAATAAAATGATAGGCATACTCACAATAACAACAACAAACATTTATCCCACTATGTGGGGCCGGCTACATGAATCAACAAAAAATTTTCACAGTGATTCTACTGATAGGCATGCTAAAATATCAATCCTACATAAAACTAAACCAGAGATGTGAATTTAACCATATAGAAGTAACTAGTAAGTGACGGCTTTAATAAGAATCATAATAGGCGCAACAATTGAAAACGCAATTGATCTTTTCAGATAAGAAAGAGGTCCCATTAAGAAGGAAAATAATTAATCTTACTACTAGGTGAGCACCTTGTTAGCAAATTTTGCCCCAAAAACAAACATCCATTAAGATATTCCTCATCTTTAAGACTTAAACATAAGACTGAAAAATGGCCTTAATTCTTCGCAGTTAAAAAAAGGGGTTAAATTGTCAGCAATACTACCGCCAAGCAGCATGCAATATATCGGTAGACCAAGAAAACGCGACTCGCCCTATGCCCTATGATGCCACCGAAAAACAAAATCGACGACAACCAACAGTGCCCACTCCTGAGACTGCAGAGTAGCAACCTACTTCTAACACCATCAATTTCCCGAAAACTCAAACAAAAACACACCCCATGTACAACCCTGCCTCCAAAACATGCAAAACCCAAGCAACATAGCATACACACCATCCACTTCGACGCCGAATAGTCAACTTTCCACAAACATCGCTAAGAATACTAATCAAACCACACAATCCCTAATCAATGCCGACACCCCATCAATCTCCGCCCAAAACCTAAGCAAAGCCGCCCAGATCCGCCAATCCAGAACACCAAAAAAATAAATACCGCATTAAACCCCCGACTAACAAATGACTCCCCAGAAAAGCACGGATGGAGCATGGAAGCACTGGATCAGGCTCCGCAGATTAATGAATAACCTCAAACTTCGAGATCGGCGTGCCGCCGACCTTGCTCCGCTCCGGCGTGTCCATTTCATCCGATCTCGATAGAGCTCTCCCACATCCCTTGATTACTCCTCCGCTTCCTCTCTCACTCTCTCTCTCTCTCTCTTCCTCGCTGCTTTATATATCTCCTGTCTTTTGCTGCTCTTGGCCACTCTACTATGCCTGATTTGAAGAGATGCCAGGAGCGGGAAGCCTATTTTTTCGCCTCTCGATCGGGTCGCGGACCCCACCGCCCTAAATACTGAATATTATCGTGAAAGGATATATTTATAAATAAAGAAAAGAAGCAAATTGTTTATTGAGTTTTATTAAATATCAAAATAGTCTCTCATTATGTTAAAGATTAGTTTAGCCCTCAATCTCTTAAGAAAGAATCAAAATAGTCTGATTATTTTGATTTTAAAAAAATTTTGAGAGATAAAAATATTTTTAATATAAGTAAAAATTAAGTTGATCTTTGATAAAAAATTAAAGGTATAAATATTAAAGTTAAAGAGGCTAGAAGTTCAAAGGTGAGACAATTTCTCAATAGCTATGCGGATATCATAGATAATTATTTTTTATCACCAAATTTTATTAATTGTTCTAGTCACAAATTGACAAATATTTGGTGGGAGACTACGAACAGAATTGGGGTTTATCTTACATTTTTTTTGTGTTTATGTCAATTAATTCAAACTCACATACACATTGTATATTTGTATAGTCAAAGCTCTCAATCAACAGGTGAAGATAAGTTGCATCCTAATAGTTTTTCAAAATAAATAGCCAAGTAGCTAAACACCAATTAAAGTATTCATGAGTTTACTCAATTTAGGCTTCATTTCGGACTGCTTTTTTGAAGCAGCTTTTTACTTGAAATATCATTTTTTTGTAGTGAAATGTTGATTTAAGAAGCAGTAAGAAAGTCTTTCCAAACAAAAACTTAAGCTTCGTTTGGGACGGCTTTCTAGTATATTTTTTAAAATTTTTGTACTAAAAATTTGATTTAAGAAGCAATTAAAAAGTCGTCCCAAACGAAGTCTTAGGCTTCGTTTGGGACAACTTTTTTATTGCTTCTTAAAACAGCTTCCTGGTATAAAATTTTTAACTTTTGTTTTAAGAAGCTATTTTAAGAAGCATTAAGAAAGCCGTCCCAAACGAAACCTTAATCATGCTCTAATTTGCTTTTATGTATTTGTCCATTTGAGCTTTTTTTATTTTTATTTATATTGTTATTAGCCCACCCGCAGTAGTTACTGAGTTAGCGGCCTCGCAGGTGCATTGATGATGATCTTAAATGCTCCAACATTTAGGGTAATCTTTCATTTCTCCTTGTTTGGCAGCTTTCATACAGCTAAGGTCCATAATGTATTACAAAAATAAACACTTTCTTATTTGAAGGTTGGAGTTATTAAATATTTTGATTTATACACTTTCAACTCAAAAAAAAAAATGAAGCAGTAATTTCAATTCTATATAAATGTTTTTAATGAAAGAAAATATGAAAATATTTGGGGCATCATATTCACTAAAATTATTAAAAAAATAAATTGTAGATGAGTACATTATAAGTTTTGATTAATTAATTCTGTTTTATATAAATTTTAGAGCAAACTTAATTTTTAACGATTATAACTTATATTTTCAAGTTTTTAACTTTTTTTATTAATGTATGAAATATAATCACCTTCTCTGGAATCTTTCACGAACAATATTAATAAAAGTACCACTAGTATGAAACGTTATATAATAGTTTGAGCACTAACAACAATAATAATATTATTCCTTGTTAAGAAATTGGCAGGAATCTTGAGAGTATCTTGAGCTCTTCTTGCAAGAGAGAGAGGGAGAAGAGAAGGAATGACAAATTTTAAAAGGAAAACTAACATAAAGTTTTATTCAATTTTCTTCAACCTTTACATCAGACTATAATGTTTATATATAAATATTTTATATTATTGTTGTAATCCTTAAAAATTAAGTTTGCAATCAAATTGTACCAACACCTCACAATTTTCACCTTGATCAGATTTTGCAATCAAAAAATCGTATGTGTGCCTGATATGATCTAACCAACTTTATGCACATAACTCCACGAGCAAACACCCCCAAACCGAGCCCAATCTTGCTTGCGAACGACCTCCACATTGCGTTCTAATCCATGGCTCCAACTCGAGCTTCCGCGAGCTCCAAACCATGCACGCCTGCATTCCTCATCATTCTTCCTATGATCTGCAACCTCGTGTCTATGTGCATAACTTACTCCTACGTGCTTCCGGCCCATGAGCCAACGTGACACTTCCACATTCATCATCGCCTTGTAGTTTCCCCAAATACTCTTGTGTGCTTCAACATGTGGCTTCACACAGCACCTGTCAGATTTCGTATCTGCATGCAACCAACACGTCGCCAAGGTTATTGATATTATTGTTTTTTATCCACTGCTCTAACACACAAAATAAACTAGCCAAATGACTATGAACTCCACCTGAATGTGAAGCTCCACCTCAAAAGATCTAACCATATATTTAATCAAGAAAAAAAAAGTGCCTCCAACATCCACTAGTGCGACATCTGCTCACTTGCACCACCCAAGAATCTCCTCCGACCCTTGCAAACCGCAACCAACCTACTATAGGCCACAACTCCCAAATCACGATCAATACAACCTCTCTGACCCAGAGTCATGGTCAGGAAAAACCCATCAAATAGCAGATCTTGCTCCTGTCTACTTTCACTCTGGAATTAGTTAGCATGCTCGGGCAGTTTCTGCCCTCACCCTTGGCCTCAATTCCTCTCAACTCTTACATGTGCTCTTCCTCAGCCCAGGTCAAATGCTCTCGAAGAACTCTCGTGCGCACAATCCCTACATGCACGCATGAAAGCCAACGACCACGTATAATCCACCAACAAGCGTGCAACACATGGCTCCTATCACGCCTTTGCTTCGTGCCCACCGCACTCGTCGATCGCATCTGAGAACTAGGCAACATGAATTGCACCTCCTACCGTCGTGTCGACACAGCGCTCCCCCCGCCCGTGACAACCACCCTCCAATAAAAAGA